CACACACACACACACACACACACACACACACACACACACACACACACACACACACACACACACACACACACACACACACACACACACACACACACACACACACACACACACACACACACACACACACACACACACACACACACACACACACACACACACACACACACACACACACACACACACACACACACACACACACACACACACACACACACACACACACACACACACACACACACACACACACACACACACACACACACACACACACACACACACACACACACACACACACACACACACACACACACACACACACACACACACACACACACACACACACACACACACACACACACACACACACACACACACACACACACACACACACACACACACACACACACACACACACACACACACACACACACACACACACACACACACACACACACACACACACACACACACACACACACACACACACACACACACACACACACACACACACACACACACACACACACACACACACACACACACACACACACACACACACACACACACACACACACACACACACACACACACACACACACACACACACACACACACACACACACACACACACACACACACACACACACACACACACACACACACACACACACACACACACACACACACACACACACACACACACACACACACACACACACACACACACACACACACACACACACACACACACACACACACACACACACACACACACACACACACACACACACACACACACATATACATGCATATATATATATATATATATATATATATATATATATATATATATATATATATATATATATATATATATATATATATATGCATATATATATATATATATATATATATATATATATATATATATATATATATATATATATATATATATATATATATATATATATATATATATATATATATATATATTTCTTATCTATTTGGACAATGAGTAATATTATCTTATACCAATGTGTATTCTGTTCTTTTCCATTTTCTGTTAGCAAATCAGACATTACACTTGTATTTATAAAACAAAAGTTTTTGAAAATTAAATTTGTCCTCATCACAACTTTTTCAAACAAACGCTTTTTATTGTAACACTGGAGTCTTGACCAGCCACTTCAAACCAAGGTAGATGACTCGGTAAATTCTATCGAGTCATAATTTCTGGTTTACTTCCCCTGAAGTCTTTGATAGGGCGAGAAAAGATGTATGGGTAACACGACAAAGGATAGTTTTAGACTCAAACATTCACCTTAAGAAAACTCGATTCGCATTTAACAACTTAAACATTACAGAGTAAATAAAGCCGGCGTGGTCTCCCCAAAACTTTCTCGAATATTCTTATATAACACTATGGGGGATGGCAACTCAATATATAGATATGATTTTTAAATTCATTTTTAATTACTTAAACTTTTTAAAATAGAATAGAATCTCGTAGAAAAAAGAATCGCGCACCAAGTGAATGGCAAAAGATATGTATAGAATAGTGCGAAATATTAGTACTTTATACATTTATATGTGTTTTTTAAGAAAAAGGAAATAGCGTAAATTACTCTTTCCGGGCAACGAAAATTACTAAAATTCGAAAGAAGGCAGGTATTCGAAAGAAGGCAGGTAATTAGATCTTTTACTTATGTGTGAAATTTCGTTTATCTATTTAAAACAATACTCCAACCTAGCTGCAACGGTGCTCAAGTTATCATGTTCACAGACAGACATACACACACACGGTCAGAATCGCAAAGCCCAGTTTTCCGACTCGAATACAGGTAAAACGCCGAAATTTGGATAAATCTGGATTTAGAAGTTTTGTTAGATTAAAATAGGTCTCCTATACTCCGTATTTGATGAAGTACTGAGAAGTAAAACGGTGAAAACTGAAAATTTCATGTGATTTCTGTGCACTATTACAATACTTCTTTTATACTCTTTATACGAGATAGTAAAAAGAACAGTTCTGTGGAGAATAGCTTGAAAATATTTTAAATATAGCCTCTCTGTTCTAAACAGACTGCTCTATGTCATCCAAAATATAAGGAATTGTTCTCATATACATGAAAACAAACTTAATTTCGTCCTCAATTCAAACATTAATTTATCCACTTCCTAAATCATTTTAATTAATGCAAAGCTGAAAAACGATTCAAAGTTTCTAAGGTATTAAATTATTTAGTAAATTATAATCTTTTTACCACATGCTTTTATTTACCTTGATTCCTCTTACAATAAGTCGTACATGTTGTTTTAATTATGTAAAGGCTTTTATATAGCTTGCTCAGTATGTTTTTATGTATGTGTGTGTGTGTGTATGTGTGTGTGTTGTAACATTGGAAATCATTCAAAAGGTGATAGAAACCATGCGCATATAAGCTAATACTTTTATATGAAATTTCGTCCATCTAATATGCATGGTACTTAATTTATCGTTTTTTTTAAAAGCCCGGAAGTATAGTACATACAACTTCCGATTACCGGAAATAGATAAATAGCTGATGGAAAATTACAAATTCGATATGTGAAGTTTTGTCAGCATAACTGAAACGGCACTCAAGTTTCCGTGTTTACAGACACACAGACATATATACACACATAAACAGACACACACATATATACACACACAAACAGACACACACACACAAACATACACACACACACACATGGACAGGATTGCAAAAAATAAGTTTTTCCGGTACCAGAAGGCTGTAACACATCAAGGTTTGTCAAAATTACAATTAGGATTTTTTTCATGATTACAATACATCTTTATATTCCGTACACAATAAATTAAAGAGGTTTAAAACGGCAAAAACTGATACAATTTCATTTTAACTTGTGTGCGCGATTACAATACTTTCTTTATACTCCTTATACGAGAAAGTAAAAAAAAAGTGATTTATTTTAACATATAGACAATATCATATTAATGAATCATTTAAAAAAAAAACAACTAGACGTTCAAATAGAAGTTTAATATATTTTTGACAGAAGAAGTCATAAATTACAGTGTCGAGTTACTTGTAGTGTAGATTTAATTTTATACCGCTGCCCCGCGTCACCTTAGCCCCGTAAAGATAAGCTCCACTGATTTCGTTAAGTGCCGTTGTTTAAATGGGGCGTTTTGTGAACTGCGAGAGGCACTATCGGTGTAAGGACAAGTTTGCACACGTAAAAAAAATCCTGTGTGATTTTTATTTGACACACCTGGGTGCTTCGTGTGTGTACATCGAGTGGTTTGTACACACGGGGAGGGAGTCGTGTGTGTACATAAGCTGGATGTGTATGTGTACGGTGAAACGTTGTCACAGATAGGACTAGGATAAGCCCAGAAGGTAAGTAGTGATTAGAGTAATTAGCTCTGATTAGATAATTGAGTTTGTGGGTTAATTTGATACATTTTAGAGATTGCGATTGTGATTTTTTAAAATGTAGGACAGGAAAGAATGTTTGGTTTAAAAAAGTGGGCCGAGGGTTTAACATTGAGTTGCCGGAAAGTTTAAATACAAGCCTACTCGATTTGTTTATTGACTGATAGTTTTATTTTTTAAATAGAGAAACAGATAGTGGAAGCTAGTGTTACGAATCAAATCTTTATTTAGGCAAATAACTAAGTATATAATTAATAGTGGATAATTTTTTTTACCTTTTGAAAAAACAATTTATAACAGGATGGTAGTGGGTCGGGGTAGTGTAACATTCAAGGAAGACAAGACACATTTGTCTTCAAGACACGGCATATTTAATCTTTAAGACAGGGCACGACAAACCATAAAATGACGTTTTAAGACAAGCCACCCTAGATCTTTATAACAAGAAACATTCAGACTTAAAGGAAAGCCACGTTCAATCTTTAATACAAGCCACATTCAATCTTTATGACAAGCTAATTCAATCTCTAAGACAAGCTACATTTAATCTTTAAGACAAGCCACATTTAATCTTTAAGACAAGCCACATTTAATCTTTAAGACAAGCCACATTTAATCTTTAAGACAAGCCACATTCAATCTCTTAGACAAGCTACATTACATTTTAAAGGCATGCCACATTTAATCTTTAAGATACGTCAGATTTCAATATACCTTACATCCCTATAGCGACTTTAGATTAAAGAGATAAAGTTCCTATAGAGTCATTGATTGGTCATAATGACCGTATGGCGTGTAAGATTGTAAAGGAAATGGAAATCACTCCGTTGTTGTAGAAAGTGAAACTAAAATCAACAAGAAAAAAAAATTAATGAACTTATTTAACACAAAATTCAGACCTAATTTATTAAGTCATTCACTCTCGTTTGTGTTCGAGGATTTTTTTTAAAAATTAGTCTTCATTAGCATTTTAAATTAATTACTATAGAATACGGGTTATGTATGTATGTGTCTACACTTCCCGAAATTACTCGCAAACTAGGAAAACATATTTTCTTCCTATACTTGAGTCTCATAAAGCTAAATAAGCTCATTCACCTCGAACCTACGCGGCCGAAGGTCAAGATTTATTTTAAGCAAACAGAAAAACTAATCATTACTCAACCCTCTTCAATTTAAAAACAACAAAGACGAATTCCTGAAATAATTAAATGTTAGATTTTCCAGTGTCATCATCTTTCCCGTTCGTGCGCAAATAGACATGAGGCAGATGAAGCAGAGTTCATCTGCTTCAGAGACCTCCGTAAATGAAAGGATTACGGTTGTCAGCACTATGCCCAGCCACCTTTGTTTTCACTAACTTGAGTCAGGTACCCATCAGAGCTGGGTGGACTCAGGGATATTCTACTGAATTGAACCTGGATTTTAACTCGAGACTTTCGGATTAGCCGTCTAGTTTTTTACCGCTAGGCCATGGTTTTTCCGTATAGAAAGCAGTTATTTCATAAATGTGTGACAATTTGAATACTTTTAAATGTATTTGTATATCTCTTCCAGAAATCCGTCACCTCAAATATTTATCGACGCGACGGGAATATAAAGTCTACTGTGATTGAAACAGTTTCTCGCTAACTCTACTCCACCATGGAAGATAAACGTATGACAGGTCCTAAGTACCTAATCCACGTCATCACCTTCATCTTTCTGCTGGGCATCGACCTAGCCGATTTCATCTGTGATTGGCTGTTCTTCACCGACGTCAGCTCCGCCGAGAAAGGACTTGTGTATGGGGTCCCTGACAAAATAATCGTTCGCGCCATCCTCGCTTTCTGCATCGTCGGGAGTGTGACGTTCATCTTGGAGATCGTTAACCTGTGGAAGGAGTTTTTTCACCAGAAGACCCGCATCGACTCAGACGTTCTCTCGGCGATTGTAATCTGGATAGAAGACGTTCCTCAGATTGCTCTGAGTTTGGCTCTTGCCGTCTGCCGAGAAGAACCCATCAGCGTTTTCCAACTCGGGAAGGCGGTTGTTGTCACTCTTGGAATTTTGATCCGGATTTTCGTACTCGTCGTGAAGTTCTGTAATAAACGGCTGTCGAAAAACCATTTGAAGATTAAGTTTGTTATTGCGGCGGGAAGTCTTGTGGAGCTGTCATGCGCAGTGGCGATTTTCATTTTGATTCACACCGAGAAGGGGAATAAAGGGGACGTGACTTTTCGAGTACCGACGACGATTTTAGAAAATCAGTTTAAAGACGCAAGTTATTTCAACAACGTCAGCGTTTTCATCAACCATCCAGTGTACTTTGATAACGTTAATCCGAACGTCAGCAAAGTGGATAATGTTGTCAATTGGTTACAACTGACCAGCATCAACCAGCTACGAGCTAGACCAAACATGGAAGTGTCGTTTAAGTTGGAGTATACACAAGTTGATAACGGAGCTTTACGACTGGCAATATGGAGAAAGAATTTGCATGAAACAGATTTAAAAAACAAATGGATGCTTTCTTCGTGTTTTGATATGGATAAGAAATCCCCCGTTATTCAACAGAAGATGAACACATCCTGTTCCAACACGTCTAGTATGGATGCGCTGTTTCTCACATTTAAATACGACCCGCCGGGGTATTTTTTCAAAAGAAAAATCTACGGTAATATTTTCTTCAACGCCAGGTACATGAGCAACGGGACCTGCGAGGACGTGGGGGAATACTCAGACGAGGTTCGAAACCAGCCCGCACCGCCGGTTAATTTAACTATGCATTATTTTCGCACGAATGAAACACTCCCGCGGTATGATGATCACGTGATGCGTGTGGAGGGCGTGGCCAGGTTTTACAGGAACGTGGACGAGGAGATGATTGACGTGACCAGGGTATGGAGAACCGGCTGGTTTGAATGCGAGGCCGCTGGTTATGTCGGGCCGACGCTGGACAGTGAGCTAAAGGTGGACTGCTCTTAACTACTGTGTGGGACCTCACAGTGAGCTAAAGGTGGACTGCTCTTAACTACTGTGTGGGGCCGACGCTGGACAGTGAGCTAAAGGTGGACTGCTCTTAACTACTGTGTGGGGCCTGACAGTGAGCTAAAGGTGGACTGCTCTTAACTACTGTGTGGGGACTGACAGTGAGCTAAAGGTGGACTGCTCTTAACTACTGTGTGGGCCTCACAGTGAGCTAAAGGTGGACTGCGAGCTAAAGGTGGACTGCTCTTAACTACTGTGTGGGGCCGACGCTGGACAGTGAGCTAAAGGTGGACTGCTCTTAACTACTGTGTGGGGCCTGACAGTGAGCTAAAGGTGGACTGCTCTTAACTACTGTGTGGGCCTCACAGTGAGCTAAAGGTGGACTGCTCTTAACTACTGTGTGGGCCTCACAGTGAGCTAAAGGTGGACTGCGAGCTAAAGGTGGACTGCTCTTAACTACTGTGTGGGGCCTGACAGTGAGCTAAAGGTGGACTGCTCTTAACTACTGTGTGGGCCTCACAGTGAGCTAAAGGTGGACTGCGAGCTAAAGGTGGACTGCTCTTAACTACTGTGTGGGGCCGACGCTGGACAGTGAGCTAAAGGTGGACTGCTCTTAACTACTGTGTGGGGACCTCACAGTGAGCTAAAGGTGGACTGCTCTTAACTACTGTGTGGGGCCGACGCTGGACAGTGAGCTAAAGGTGGACTGCTCTTAACTACTGTGTGGGGACTGACAGTGAGCTAAAGGTGGACTGCTCTTAACTACTGTGGGGGGCCGACGCTGGACAGTGAGCTAAAGGTGGACTGCTCTTAACTACTGTGGGGGGCCGACGCTGGACAGTGAGCTAAAGGTGGACTGCTCTTAACTACTGTGTGGGGGGCTCACAGTGAGCTAAAGGTGGACTGCTCTTAACTACTGTGGGGGGCCGACGCTGGACAGTGAGCTAAAGGTGGACTGCTCTTAACTACTGTGTGGGACCTGACAGTGAGCTAAAGGTGGACTGCTCTTAACTATCAGAGTCGTCCACGATCTTGGAAGTTTGTCATTAATTATTTTTGTTTAGACAGTTAATTAAAGATAAAATATGTCTCAGAGAACAATCTCAAAAAGGAATGAAACGTTTCTGTGCAAATCAAATGTATCTCTACAATCTTGACAACAAATGGTATGTGTCTCGACAATCTTGACAACAAACACAACGTTAAAATATTGCTCAACTCTCCTACTATGTTTACAGAATTATAATTTGCCATTTAAAACTGAATTAATGGAATTGGCATGTTTTAATGATACATTTGTTTATTGTTTACTTTGTGTATTTAAGTATTAAAAAAAAAACCCAAGCAGCGAAAGATGTTTAGAAATATGCACATATTCGTAATCATAAAGATCGATGTTATGTATCGTGATGTGAGGTAATATTATTATTGTGACTCACAAAATTTGTTGACATTGATTCTTCCATTTGTTGATCTACTTCAGGAAGTTGTTGTAATGCGAATTACAAGAAGACCAAGGTTCAATTTTTGTCGGACATTTTGAATGGAACACTGACGGAAGTTATAAGCTAGTGACACGACACTACCCACCTATTGTAAAGGGGATGGTTGGGGAAGGGGGAGAGATGTGACTTTAGTGACGCTTGGCTAAGTAGGGAATAGGGAATATGCAAAAAATGTGACTTTTGAATTTCTTACAAAACAAAAGTATGAAAAAGGTAATATTTGATGTTATTTCAAGAGGAGGGTGTCGAGTCATTAATAAGGATATACGTTAACGATGACGGGTAGACTTTGATTAAAAATACGTAATATCATAAAAGAGTGACAGTTAATGTAAATATATGAACATCAAACAATACGTGTACATTAGTAAATATATTAGCAAACAGTGTTTCTTCCAGACTTTTTTCTCCGGGGGGGGGGGGGGCACTTGATATTTTCGGAGGGGGGGGGCGGTCAACATGTTCCGGGAGGGGGCGGACACTGGTAAAAGTATATGTGTTTTATATACATTCCATTTCGTTAGGGGGGGTCTGTAGACTTTCATCGGGGGTGCGGAGTCGTCCCCCCCGCCCCCCCCCCCCCCCCCGAATAGATGCCTGGAAGAAACTCTGTTAGCAAAATAATCCAGAGTAGTATGTAGATCACAACGATGTCATAATGTCCACGTTAATTTTGTTTGGATTTATCTCAGATCAACAAATTTATATAAACTAACTCGTTGTTTAATTAGTGATCGGTGATTATGTACTAACACTATCTCGTTAAATTATTTTCTTGTAAATAAATAAACTGCTTAGTATTATATGTACAAAATGTAATTAAAAATGAAATAAGTATCTAAGTTTGCTTATGTCTATGATTGTTTTTTATAAGTTTTTACTTAAATAAAAACACAAATACCAAGGAATATAATAAGTTTTATAAGGTACATTTCATCATATTCATTATTTCATTATTGAAGGTAACCCGATATTTACGTATATATATATATATATATATATATATATATATATATATATATATATATATATATATATATATATATAGGCCTATATATATATATATAGGCCTCTCTCTCTCTCTCTCTCTATATATATATATATATATATATATATATATATATATATATATATATATATAATATTTAACAAAAATGATGATTTGCCAATGCTATATTAAACCGAACTAGTTCTCGGTGTGTCTGGCATTAAACCAACCTAGGCACGAGTTCTGAGACCACAGGGCTGACATTCACAGAGTCGTGTAGAAACCCAAGCCTCGTTCTGGTTCACTGACCTCCGTCGACCGCTCGTTTAACGACTTTCAACACACGTGACCGGGTTTCAAGACAATAGGTCAATGTCGAATGTAATGTGCTAGTTAGACATTTGTATTCATTTCTCCACACTTAGAAAAAAAAAACGGCTTATGTAAAAGTTTCTCCTTTTATTTTCAACACCGCCTTCTAGAAAACTTTCACCAAAACTATCTTAGTGCAACTTTTTTTTTACCCCCCCCCCCCCCCACCCGCTTTTTGTTAGAATAGACTTCTGTATATATTTCTGCCGATTAAGAACAAGCTTTTTGTATAACTTTCTCGTTAATGATATCACTGACTACCGTAAAACTCCCTATCTTTCATTTCTTGCATGATTTCTGTAAAAAAAAATCTCTGCCATTGAATTTTCTAACATCGCCTTCTTTATAATTTTCTCCCTTTATTTGCAACACTGCTTTTTTTATAATTTTCTCCCTTGATTCCCAACACCGCCCTCTGTGAAACTGCCTTCCCTACATGTTTAACATTGTCGACTTAACACACCCGATCCTATCATTATGTAAACACTGCGCAGGTCAACTAGGTCATGTTTACTGATAACAACACGTGTAAATCTTGCCACACAGCGTCATATCTTATTAGAGCGTAAATTAAAAGAAATCGGGAAAATCCAATCACAAACTAATAAAACGAACACTATATATAATCGTTCAATTAAGATGAAGAAGTCTTATATATATATATATATATATATATATATATATATATATACTAGCCGTCCCGGCCAGGCCCTGCTCTGGCTTCTGTGAAAAACCTTTCTGTTAAAGACCATTACCTGTGTGTTTAGTAATCATCATAAACCCGGCATTGCCCACCCAAACCAAAACCAACCAAAACAACAAAACGCAAACATAACGCTAACACAATTACAAATACAAACGAAAACAAAAACCTAACAACAAACCCAACCACAACCACAAACACCAATACAAACACAAAGAAAAAACAAACAAAAAAGCAAACGAAAACAAAACCTAACAACAAATCCAACCACAAACACCAATACCAACAAAAAAAAAACAACGAAAAAGCAAACGAAAACAAACCAAATCCAAACGCAAAACCAACCAAAAACACAAATACAAACCCAAAGAAAAAAAAAACAAAAACAAAAAAAGAAAGAACAAAAACGAACCAAATCAAAACGCAACCATTAACGCAAACCCACCTAAACACAAAGAAAACACTAACGCGAACATAAACGCCCGGGGCGGAATCACCTGTTTTAGCTTAATGAACGACTATAGTACCCCAACTTATTCATAGTCTTTTGCACTCACTTAAACGAACGCGCCTGTTTCAATTTAATGAACAATTTTAATACTCCAAGCTTATCCGTAAAATACCTACAACATTTGCACTTGATCAATCCCCGCTAATTATGTAATTATTTTTTTTCCCAACACCAAAACAAAGTAATAAAAAGTAAATTATTTTCCACTAATGCAATGGTTTTTATAAAGGGAAGTAATTGTGTTTTCCTAATTTATCAAAGGGAAGTAAGTGCTATAGGACTAAAGAAAGACATAATTAGAATTTTTGTAAAAGATGATATTTTTTTAAAACTTGTGTTTAATGAACATGCCGACAATTATTACTATAATTTGAAAAATGAAAATTATTTCCCAACACTTTCAATAGTAATTTTTTAACTCATAAATTTAGACAAATGCGCACGATAATTGTCTAACACTTAAATCCATCCAAGACCAACGACAAACATATGCGTTACATACAGAACTGAGCTTTATATATTAGATATATATATATATATGTATATATATATATATATATATATATATATATATATATATATATATATATATATATATATATATATATTTATATTTATATTTATATATATATGACCAGATTGTAGCTTATGGGATGATGTGGTCGAGTTGTAGCGCACCCTATTGCTTACCAGCAAGCCTCGTTCGATCCCCGGGCCCATTACCGTAGGGCAACCTCTGTTGTACTAAGCTCTGATGTTGACTGCTTTGGGGAGGTCCAAAGCCCCAACACACCCTATCCCACCCCCACACTCCCTAATCAGCAACTCTGCTTCAAACCGCCCCCAACCCCCCACCCCTAAAGAAAACTCTGGCCTGAATTGGATTGTTAAGGAGAGGGATTCAACAGCACCCTATCTACACCCATAGAAAATTCTGGCAGAGGTGAATGGTTGGGTAGGGTGGTACCCCCTACCCCACCCAACGTTCCGTATCCCCTAAACAAGGATCTGACAGGGGTTGATGGTAGGATAGTCTTACAACCGCACTTCACCCCCTTCACACAATAGATGCCTCTGAAGGTGATGTTTTAATATTACTAGTGCAATTTAGTTGTGCGTAAAAACATAAAAAACCACAGTTGATTTTAAAGAAATAGGTAAGTAAAAGTGTTTTAAATATTTGTTTTTGATAAAATTCTATTTTCATTTTAGCTAGTATCAGTCCGCCTGCCTATACAAGAAACTTTTAAAAAATCCATACAATTTTAACTGACTTTATCAAACAGCTGTCTATATAAGATACTTTAACATCAATTAATAACATTTAAACTAACTTTATCAACCTATGGTCTATATATAAACCGTATAATCAATCAATAACATATTGCTTTGTAAGGAGTAATTAGAAATAATTTAACTTTTAGATAAATATGGGAAACACTTTTAATAACAAAGTCATTCAAATGAAATCTACCAATTGCTTTTATCGACTGCTTTAATTTAGGATTAATCGATTTGTTTAAAATACAAACCAGATGGTTTGGACAGGGGAAGCTAAAGAAGACATGTCTAGTGGAGTTTAGCTTTAAATTGTGCATGGTAGTTTCTTGTATCTCTCATAAGGATGATATCTACTAGAGAGTCTCATGTTTTGGTTTTACTTCTTCATTTGAGCTTGCTCTACGTGGAAAATTCTACACTTCCATTGCTAAAGCAGCGGCCTCATCTGATGGAGAAGCAAGCTCGCAAGGTAAGGAACGTAGCGTTGGTTGACAAAGGAGGTATGTAAACAGGTAAATTTGATTGTAAATAGCTAGAGGTGCGTCATTTTCTTAATTTTATATCAGTTAACAATCGCAAGGTAAAAAAAAAAACAATGCTGTAGTGAGATAAGTACCTTTTCGAACCTGACGGTTTATGCGGATGGTGAAGTAGAGTTCACCTTTTCTGCGAACTGTGCATATGATTATGGGCATGTGATTATGAAGGTCAGAATTATGCCCAGCCTTCTTTACTTTCACTAGCATAAATCTGGTAACTACCAGAGTTGGGTGGACTCAGGGACGCCCATTAACATGTACTTTGGATTCGAACTGGAGACTTCCGTCTTAGCAATCGTATTCTCTACCATCCGACCACGCCGCCCCACAAACATATTGTGTTAAAAACGACAACTAATTTAGCAACATGTGTTTTTTTTAAAACTCAATATCCATTCAAAATAAAACAAAAATCGATTAAATAAAACATATAGAGTCCGAGGTGATAGATAAGTTACGCATAGCGACGTCAAAGTCTATAGGAGTAAAGTATTTAACATATTTAGTGGCGATATAAAGTTTTTCAGCTTCCCACCCGTGAGGTTGAAAGTGATAACAAAGCATCTTATGTAGAAGTAGAAAGGACATTGAAGAAGAGGTTTAATGAAGTGTGTACTATGAAACGAGAAACAGCAATGGAAATAATGAAAAAGTACAGTATTCAACTCAACTACTTTCTCATTTTACATTTATAGATGTAATTTTTATAAGATCAATAATTTTCGCTTTTTCAAATATCTTTTTAAATAATATATTTTTCAATCAAACGATAAATAAATAAATGATAAAAAAATATTTGTATTATATAAAAATGAAAACCAATTTTAGGTTTTAGTTTATTTGTAGAATGTTTGTTATTAAAATTAGTTTTGAGGATGGTCCATTTGAAATAGCTGGCCAGAACGATGCGACTACGAACATGGAAAAACAACGGATTGAATTTTACCTGTACAGGTATACATTTGCCGGATTTGTCAGGTAAGTAACGCCTCTATAATACGTTTTGTTATAAAGAAAAGTAAAAAGCTATAGCACATAGTTTTAGTATAATTGATCTCTATGTTATAAAGGTACGCTTACCTTTAACCACAGGTGCTTTGATCATAGTGGCTTTGACCGTAGGTGGTTTGACCACAGCGGGGGTTTGATCGTAGGGGAATTTACCATAGGTGTTTTGTGGTCAAACTTCGTTGCAAAAATTAAAATTCTAGCCAAAATTAAACCTTAAAATAACTAAATCCGACCGTCATTCATTGTTAAACAAATAAAAAAAAAAAAAAAAAAAAAAAAAAAAAAAAAAAAAAAGACAAGAAATAGCTAGATTCATCCATTTATTGTAAAACTTCGACAATAAAAGTCAGACTCTCATCCAGTTTCAAGTGTGATCTCAAATGTACGACATCAACATCTTAAGAGACAACAAGTTTATTGAAATAAATGCTTAATTCTTCAAGCTATGAAATCTACAAAAACAAATTTAATTTTACTACAACAACTATCGTATTACACTGACCCAAACAAATAAGTAAACATTCAAGGTTTTTGTTTTTGTTGTTGTTTCAGAAGGGTATACACTTTTGATACCTGTACGCAGGCACTCAAAGGAATTGATGTTCAAAAAAGTAAGTGGCTAAGAAATATAAACTTACATTTCATGGTATCGATTCTCATCATTTGATTATTAAATTGCAGAAAAAATAAATTACTGACAACAGACTTTATTTAATATTGATTAAATTTTTTATTTTATTATATTCGATCGGGGGATAGTGTGGTCAGCACCACGCTCGGCCGTCTTTGTTTTCCTTAACGTGAGTCAGGTACCCATCAGAGCTGGGTCGACTCTGGGAGGTCCTATAGACTAAACCCCGGGATCCGAACTCGAGACTTTGGCAGTTATAAGCTTTACCATTTGACCTGTTTCTTAATTTTAGAAAAACAGCAGACTTAAATTTGTATTTATTTTTGGAATCAATAAAACAATACCGAAATATTTATCTTTGAACGTCTAACATGATCAGTAGCGTAGCAAGGAATTGGTCATGAGAGGGGTTCAAATATTTTTAAATATGCATAAAATCATTTATATATATATATATATATATATATATATATATATATATATATATATATATATATATATATATATATATATATATAGATAGGGGTGTGAGTCCATGGGAGGGGTTATAACCCCCCCCCCCAAACCCCCCTTGCCACTGAACATGGTGCTTGTCTGTGTGTCACGTACAGCTGACATTGGAACCCCTTGCAAAGAGAAAGTATACGGTATAGGAGGAAGCTCTTTTAATGGACCAATCCTGTTTGGCCGAAAGCCATTCTGTCTACTGACGACCTTCTCTAACGTCACCAACAAGTGCGTTTTAAAAAACAAATACTGTAAAGGTAATTTCTTCTTTTCAAGAACATGTTTGTAAATGGTACTGTATAAAAGAATGACTCTATTACAAACCGTTTTTGCAATATATTACCTTAGTGTATTGTTCTTATAATCTGCCCGGAGTTCGTCAATCGCCCCCTTCCCGGGTTTAAATAGAAATAAAAATAAAAAATTATATAAAAATATGTTATATTTAAACCAGAATGCGCCCCCCCCCCCCACCATCCTACGAAAATTTTAAATGCGCCCTCCCCCAAATTTTTGGGGAGAAAAATGTCTAAAAGAAAATCTGCCTTAGTGTGTAGTTATATCTGTTAAAGAAAGTTGGTTATTTGGCTGTAAGTTTGGGATTATTATAATAATTTATAATAATAAAAATCTTGAGTACTGTTTTTCATTGCTGATTGTTATTTGAAATTTACATATTGGGTAAGTAAATTACAAATTAAATTATTGTTAGACTTTATTATTTTCAAATTAGCAAATGTTCAGAGACGTTTACTAAAAAAAATATGGCAATTTTCTACAATTAATGTACGCAAGTAAAGGAAGTTACCATTTTTGACCAGGTGGTCTTAGGCAGAGCAGGGGCGTAGCGAGGGGGGGGGGGCGGTGGGTGCGGACCGCACCGGGTGACACCATTTAGGGGGGTGACACCAAGGCAAAAAATAGCAAAATATATAGAGAAAAACTTGAGGGGGGGGGGGTGCAAATCGAAAGTTTGAGGGGGGGGGTGCAAATCGAAAACTTGAAAGGGTCGCAACGCCTCTGGGGGGGGGGGGGTGACACCATTAATTGCCGCACCGGGTGACACCCGACCTCGCTACGCCACTGAGGCAGAGGAAGTTGATTTCATGTTTATGATAGGATAGTGTGGTCTGTTCTATACCCAGCCGCCTCTACTTTCCTTAACTTAAGTCATGTACCAATCAGAACCATAAGGACTGAATCCGAACTCCAGACGATCAGTCTAACAGTTGTGAGCTCTACCGCCCGACCACACCGCCCATATCAAAAGTTGACATGTTATAACAAACATACTTACTTGTTATAACAAATATACTTTTTTACAAATGAAATATCATTATTAAAACGTTTTTCTTAACTCAGCTTCGCGTTTGTTTGTTTGTTTGGTTGTTTGGATGTTTGTTGTTAAAATTGACATCGAAAATTAGCCCACTTCTGATTGCTCTATAGATCTGAAATTTGGCATGCAGGTTACTTTCGCCTAACAATTTCAGATGCAATTATAAAAACTAGCAATTAGAGACCGTAATTAGCTTAATTTAATTACGCCCTAAGGACCATAAAATTGAGGACATGATTTCTAAAGATACCGACAAGACTGAAGACCTATTGACACAGTTACTTCGGCCCCAATCGATGTGAGCGCGCTGGCCGTGATCGTATAGTGGTTAGTACTTCGCGTTGTGGCCGCGACAACCCAGGTTCGAATCCTGGTCGCTCAAGATTTTTAGTCCGTGTATTTATAAACACTTTTTTAAAAACCACGTTTTTCATGTGTAGCAACGGACTAAAAAGGAGAAAATAAAATACTTAAAAAAAACTTTTTAAAAAACCACGTTTTTCTTGTGGACTAAAAAGTAGAAAATAACTATTTACATACATTTGATGACAAAAAACGTGGGTCGGGCAGATGGGTGGGAAATTTGATGGTGAACGTACCCACGTTTTTTGTCATCAAATGTATGTAAATAGTTATTTTCTACTTTTTAGTCCACAAGAAAAACGTGTTTTTTTAAAAAGTTTTTTTTAAGTATTTTATTTTTAAACTAGGATTGGACAACAGGGGAGTGAACATGTTATAACAAATATACTTTCTATAAACAAATGAATATTATTTTGAAACTAGGGTTGGACAACAGGGGCGTGAATATCTCGACGGATCCGTTCAAGACTTTGAAACCCGTAGAGTTCGACTGTAACAAGGCATACTTGGATGGGCTCCATGGTGCCGCATCGCCTCTCTTGGACGCCTTCTTCTACACCACCCAGGCTCTACAGATGCTAGAAAGTAGGCACTGGGTATATTTTAAAAGGAGATTTTCTAAAAGAAGTTTTGATGTAAGGGGGATGCAGAATGATTTGTATTTAATGTTTGTGGTGATGTTCTAATTATATAGTAACAACTAGCTTTAAAATCTACATATAAAACAAATAAAAACAACAACAACAACAAAAATCATGATTTTCTTATAAAATACAGTACAACTTGGAATAAAAATTACATTCTTAGCGTTGAAACATAACAACAAGCACGCATATGTGTACACGATTGTCTTTAAACAACACTTTGCCATGAGAATATGCAATTAAAAAACATGAAAACCATAACACTACTAGGCTTTATTTACTCTGGTTTTCTCGAGTAAAACTCAACCTGGTTTAAGTTTTTTTTAAAATGAGCATGTATGTAGTCATACTTACACTGCCAATCATGTATATAGTCATACCTACACCTACAACCATGTATGTAGTTATACTTACACTTCCAACCATGTATTGTTATACTTACACTTCACTTCCAACCATGTATTGTTAAACTTACACTTCCAACCATGTATGTAGTCATACTTACACTTCCAACCAAGATCATACGAAAACATATATTTTGACTTTGAAATCCATAACTCTCAGCGTGGTGTAACTTTTAAAAAATCAGTATTAATATTGTCCAACAAAGTTAAAATAAAAAATATATTTTGACGTTTAATTCTCTTTCTCTCAATGTGATTTAAGTTTAAAAAGATAACCATGTATTTAGTCATGCTTACACTTACAATCAACATTAGACAACGACAAATTATTTTGAAGTTTAATAATATATCTCTAAATGTGGTTTAAGTTTAAAACAGATGTAATCATGTTTACACTTCCAACCTAGATTAAACCACAACAAATTATTTTGATGTTTAATTCTACATCTCTCAATGTGGTTTAAGTTTTAAAAGATCACCGTGTATGATGTCATACTTACACTTCCAATCAACATTAGACAGTAGCAAATTATTTAATTTTTAAATCTCCACCTCACAGCGTGGTTTAACCACACGGCACTGCAACACCCCGGCATCACCGTACGGGTACATCACGGCATCAACATCAGTAACGGCTTTGCCGCCAACATCAACATCGCCTTTGGTGACGGCAACGGCTACCGGACGTCTTTCGCCACAGCCCCTGATGTTGTAGGGCATGAGATTGGACATTTGCTGCTCATTAGAGACACACGACTGCTCACCCAGTAAGTGTGGGAACGGTGTAGTAGAGTGGTAGAGCGTTCTGCTGCTAATAAGAAGGTCTCAAGTTCAGATCTTGTTACTTATATATGAAATTCCGTCCAAGTAATTTAAACGGTACTCACGTTGTTGATTTTTTGAGAAATCGGCAGTAGAGTTTGTAGCACTTCCGGTCACAGGAAATCGCTCAAAAGCTGATATAGGTCTACAAATGGGATATAATACTATTATATGGAATTTCATCAACATAACTGAAACGGAACATAAGTTATGGTTTTACAGACATACAGACAGACACACAGACAAACAGACAGACACACAGACAGACACACAGAATAACAGAATGACAAACAGAAGAACAGACACACAGACACAAAGATAATATCACACATTAGCCACATTTTATTTCAAAATGTTGTTAATGAGAAATAAGTTAGGTCTATTTTTATCGAATTGAGCTATTCTCCTTTGCAAGACAAGCCACTATTGCATCTGCTGCAATTTTTTTTCAAACCTTAATCAAAACTTGATTTTATTGTTCGATATATAAATAATTTTTAAAATTGTTTTCACAAAATATTTTAAAAACAAAACGAGCTATAAATACACTTTTGAAAACACCTAATTTAAAATTCGACACTATGACGTTACACTTCTTAACCCTTTGTTCCAGATAATCAGAAAAGTCCACCCCGTCACAGACACTACCCAGGGAATGTGACTTTTTTATGGAGGACCCTCTAACTAAGCTAATACATCATGCATGGATATCAAAACATTTCTATAATCAAATGCCTAAAATGTCTCAAAAACTCACAATAAACGCACTAAACTTTTAAAACAATAAATCTTCGCATGCACGTCTCTCAGTAGTGAATTAGAATGAAAACAAAAAGAAAGATTTCTTAATAGACTTAGCGATGTATTGGGCAGATGAAGTTCATGTACCTTGAACTCGGCATATATGGTCAGCACAATGTCCAGTTGCCTTTTTTTCCAATTGTTTAAGTCAGGTACACATCAGAATTGGGTAGACTCAGGAACATCATACAGTCACAAGTCAGAACCGAGATTCGACCTCGAGACCACCGACCTAGCAGCCATTTGCTCTACCATTCGACCACGCCGTTTTTTTTTCCTAGTGATTTATTTAGTAAATTTTCTCTCATTTGATCAGAAGACCAACCATCGCAAGTGCTGGCATACGGGAAGCGTTTTCGGACTTTTTTGGCAAAACGTTGGAGTTCTACATCTTCGGTATGCTGGAGTGGCGACACGGTCCGTGGCTGACCAAAGACGGCACAAGTATGCGGCCGCTGGACGCTCCCGGCATGCAGTTCGTGGAGGATGTGCTGCACCACACCACTGGTCACTACAACGGTGGTGTCTTCACTCGAGTCTTCTACCGCATGGCCAAGTTCTGGGGGATCAGGTAAGTGGCTAGGCCGTTTGTTTGAGGAGGGGGGGGGGATCAGGTAAGTGGTTAGGTCGTTTGTTTTGGGGGGGGGGGATCAGGTAAGTGGTTAGGTCGTTTTTTTGGGGGGGTGGATCAGGTAAGTGGTTAGGTCGTTTGTTTGAGGGGGGGGGGGTGGTTAGGTAAGTGGTTAGCTTGTTTGTTTTGGGGATAAGGTAAGTGGTTAGCCAGTTTGTTTGGGATGGGGGTTGGTTAGGTAAGTGGTTAGCCCGTTTGTTTTTTTGGGGGGGGGGTCAGGTAAGTGGTTAGGTCGTTTGTTTTGGGGGGGGGATCAGGTAAGTGGTTAGGTCATTTTTTTTGGGGGGGGGGATCAGGTAAGTGGTTAGGTCGTTTGTTTGAGGGGGGGGGGGATCAGGTAAGTGGTTAGGTCGTTTGTTTTGGGGGGGGGGGTGGTTAGGTAAGTGGTTAGCTTGTTTGTTTTGGGGATAAGGTAAGTGGTTAGCCAGTTTGTTTGGGATGGGGGTTGGTTAGGTAAGTGGTTAGCCCGTTTGTTTTGGGGGGGGTCAGGTAAGTGGTTAGGTCGTTTGTTTTGGGGGGGGGGGGATCAGGTAAGTGGTTAGGTCATTTTTTTTGGGGGGGGGGATCAGGTAAGTGGTTAGGTCGTTTGTTTGAGGGGGGGGGGATCAGGTAAGTGGTTAGGTCGTTTGTTTTGGGGGGGGGGTGGTTAGGTAAGTGGTTAGCTTGTTTGTTTTGGGGATAAGGTAAGTGGTTAGCCAGTTTGTTTGGGATGGGGGTTGGTTAGGTAAGTGGTTAGCCCGTTTGTTTTGGGGGGGGGGGTCAGGTAAGTGGTTAGGTCGTTTGTTTTGGGGGGGGGATCAGGTAAGTGGTTAGGTCATTTTTTTGGGGGGGGGGGGGATCAGGTAAGTGGTTAGGTCGTTTGTTTGAGGGGGGGGGGATCAGGTAAGTGGTTAGGTCGTTTTTTTGGGGGGATGAGGTAAGTGGTTAGGTCGTTTGTTTGAGGGGGGGGGGTCAGGTAAGTGGTTAGGTCGTTTGTTTTGGGGGGGGGGGATCAGGTAAGTGGTTAGGTCGTTTGTTTGAGGGGGGGGGGTTAGGTAAGTGGTTAGGTCGTTTGTTTTGGGAAATCAGGTGAGTGGTTAGCCAGTTTGTTTGGGGGTGGGGGGTGGTTAGGTAAGTGGTTAGCTTGTTTGTTTTGGGGATAAGGTAAGTGGTTAGCCAGTTTGTTTGGGATGGGGGTTGGTTAGGTAAGTGGTTAGCCCGTTTGTTTTTTTTGGGGGGGGGGATCAGGTAAGTGGTTAGGTGGTTTGTTTGAGGGGGGGGGGGTTAGGTTAGTGGTTAGCCCGTTTGTTTTGGGAAATCAGGTGATTGGTTAGCCAGTTTGTTTGGGGGTGGGGGGTGGTTAGGTAAGTGGTTAGCCCATTTGTTTTGGGGAATCAGGTGAGTGGTTAGCCAGTTTGTTTGGGGGTGGGGGTGGTTAGGTAAGTGGTAAGCTTGTTTGTTTTGGGGATAAGGTAAGTGGTTAGCCAGTTTGTTTGGGATGGGGGTGGTTAGGTAAGTGGTTAGCCCGTTTGTTTTGGGAATAAGGTAAGTGGTTAGCCAGTTTGTTTGGGGGTGGGGGTGGTTAGGTAAGTGGTTAGCTTGTTTGTTTTGGGGATAAGGTAAGTGGTTAGCCAGTTTGTTTGGGATAGGGGGGTGGTTAGGTAAGTGGTTAGCCCGTTTGTTTTGAGGAATCAGGTGATTGGTTAGCCAGTTTGTTTGGGGGTGGGGGTGGTTAGGTAAGTGGTAAGCTTGTTTGTTTTGGGGATAAGGTAAGTGGTTAGCCAGTTTGTTTGGGATGGGGGTGGTTAGGTAAGTGGTTAGCTTGTTTGTTTTGGGGATAAGGTAAATGGTTAGCCAGTTTGTTTGGGATGGGGGGTGATTAGGTAAGTGGTTAGCCCGTTTGTTTTGGGGATAAGGTAAGTGGTTAGCCAGTTTGTTTGGGGGTGGGGTGGTTAGGTAAGTGGTTAGCCCGTTTGTTTAGGGGGGTTAGCCCGTTTGTTTGGGGAATCAGGTAAGTGATTAGTCCATTTGTTTTGGAGATCAATGTTTTGGTTAGGTCACTAATCTGAATATGTGCTCATCATCTGCTAATCCATTTTTATAACAATTTCTTAATTCTTCAATTTCGTTCGTGTGTTTGTTTATTGAAGTAAATAAATTGACCTTTTTCTGATTAGTCCGTGCTTATTTGCACATAGGATGGTAATTTTACTTAATCCACCCCTCTCATAGATCTACAATGGAAGCGCTGATGTGTGCTAAGGATTTGATAGGAGATACCGAAATGAAAACCTACTATGACATCTCGTGTAAGATCATTGAAGCCGGGTATCACGTGGGCATGAAGTGAGTGGTGACTACAGAAACACATTTTATTATTATGTGCAGAAAATTAAAAACATATGACATAGTACAGAGCTTAAGAATTTCATAAGATTATATATGTATGCATTGATACACACACGCACGCACCCACGCACGCACGCACTCACACACACACAAATACACACACACACGCATGCACGCATGCACGCATCCACACACTCACACACACACACGCACGCACGCACGCACACACACATACACACTCACACACACACACACACACACACACACATATATATATATATATATATATATATATATATATATATATATATATATATATGTATATATATATATATATATATATATATATATATATATTTAAGTTTACTCAAATGCTTTTCTTAGCATGTATGAAATCGACCGATATTTTAAAACTGTTGGCATCGACTCTGCTTTTATATGCCCAATTGAAGGGTAAATTTTATTTTTGGTTCCAACAGAAGTTTTTAACTATGTGTTGTACGTTTTGTCTGTACGTTTATTTGTTCCAAATATCTTGCCTGTTATACACACGTTTCTAAATATAGACACACACACCCACTCAAACACACACACACCCACGCACGCACACACACACACACACACACGCACAAACACACAAACACGCACTCAAACACGCACGCACACATACACAAACACACGCACGTACGCACACGCGCACCCACTCACACGTACGCAAGCACATACACAAACACACGCATGCGCACACCCAAAAATCACCCACATAAATATACATTTATAATATATTCATGTAAACAAAATGGAATGGCAAGACAAATCATTGACGACTAACAAAGGCTAATACCTTGTCACACCACCATGATACCCAGGATGCCAGTGGAACCCTTGACCACCTACCAAAAGGTCATCGTCTCCAGTCGGCGGCGTCCGTTCTTTAGAGTGCCCAGCTCAAAATCAAGATACATCCTGTATTCGACTGACCCAAACGCGGTAAACATTTGTTCTGACAATCAATTTTAACCAATGGACGTATCATAGTTTAAAATAGACCCTGGCGTCGACTTGGGGTCTATGCATAAGTTAAAACAGGTTAATTTACTCAGCATATGAAACTAACAAGATTTGAGGGTTGTAATTCAGTGGATTTGAGTTCATTCATTACTTAGTGATTGTAGTGATAAGATACTGCTTTTCTCTTTTATTATTAAGAAAATACCAATACGTTGAATATGTTTTAAAGAAATATCATCAATACGTTGAATGTGTTTTAGAGAAATATCATCAATACGTTGAATGTGTTTTAGAGAAATATCATCAACGAGCCGGCCCGCGGCATAACATACGCCGCTATTTAGTTGTTTCTAATTTTCAATAATTCATAATTTGTGAATTCGACAGTACCAACGCTGACACTGAAAATATTTCTTTAAACCACTATAAGTAGCTCGTTAAGGACCATAACCCCCCCCCTTCCTTCCCCCCCCCCCTACGTTTAAAATCGTTGGCTCTGCTTGTAAACATTTAGAGTGAACACAGCTCACTAAAACCATGTAGGGGTGGGGAGGTAGGGAGAGCGTTTGCAGCTTGTTTTCTAACGGCTCGAAGAGGAGAATTATATATATAGATACGTCGATTGTGTTTTAACTGTCATGATAGAAAAATATCTATAGGTTAAATATGTTTTAATTCTGATCTAAGTATTTACTTAAGCTTTCTTTAATGAATAATTATTTGTCTCTCGTCCTACCTGTTTCCTTTTGCTGCAAGCTTCCAATAGTTAATATCGTGTATAAATGATGGCGTTGCAAGGTCGGTGCCAAGGCGGCACTTCGTGGTGCCACTTAACCCCATAAATAAAGTATATATATATATATATATATATATATATATATATATATATATATATATATATATATATATATATATATATAAGCGTAGTTGTATGTGTATAAGCTTTAATCACTGCATAGTAACCATGTTCATATATAGTCAGTTAATAATATAGTTGGATATAGCATTGTTTTTTCTGTGGTTCGCACGTTTTCGTCATGGTGTCACCCCCACTCTTGTAATAGTTGCCGATTTGTACTTAAAAGACTATTTAACTTTAATCAATTATTAATGGAACTGGCAGAAACGCATTTTTCTTCTGTATATTTTGCAATTGTTTGCCTTGGTGTAACCCTACCCCAAATGGAGTCATCCGGTGCGATCCGCACCCCCCCCCCCCCCTCACCCTCGTTACGCCTCTGTGCATAAACAATGTTATTTTACCACTATAAAATAATTCACGTAACTAATTGTATACTGTGTATACCATACTGAGCACGTCTAATTACAGGTGAGGATAACGGTCTCGAGGGATCGAGAAGGTAGACGACTGCTACAATCAGCTGGGCTGGGCAGGATCAAAATTCGCGGCGACCTGTCGAAAGAGAACTCACCAGTCTTCGTTCATTTCTCGACCGGAGTTTTAGCCAATAAATTAGTCAAAATTTTTGTAAGTCACGAAGATTGACGGCCGGATCAAGATTGTAGTCGGATTATAAATGTTTGGCATGTTAAATAAATTTTTTTACTATTACGAATTTTATGTGATTTTAATGTGTTACGCCGTACAGTGGCGTCACTAAGTGGGGTGTCACCCCCCCCCTTCTTACAACAATATTGCATTTTAGATTAGGTGTTACTCATCTCTCCTGATTTTTTTATTTTTTTAATTGGAGAAAACATGGTTTAGAACGGAAATTTTTCAATTTTTCTTCATGGTGTCATATCCTAAATGGTGTCATCTGGTGCAAACATGCACCTCCCCCGCCCCACCTTGTGACAAAAGTACTGTATCCAGTGACTATATTATGACATAACGATAGCAAGTGTACTCTTGACTTTCGAACCGTTAAAAATGAACACATTTAACCTTTAACAAAAATGTATTTTTTGAAATGTTTTTTGCTTATTTGATATAAAATAAATAAAAGTAACGACACCTTACGGAGAGTAGAGCGTCACTGTGTTCACCCAGATTGTTTAGTGCAAATCTATTAAAATGTGCTTAGGGGTAGTCCATAAATGACGTCACACTCGTAGGGGAGAGGGGGGGGTCCGTAATTTTGTGACGGTGTGTGATGAGGGGGAGGAAGGGGGTTCAGATGGTGCGACGTCACACTTTTGCATTTTAAAAAAAGCATTGTTAAAAAACTAATTTTTAGAAGTCATTTCGCGTTTTAGGAAACTGTTTTAATAAATTGTAATAGGAATTGATTAAAATACTCTATTTTGACAGAGTTCAGACAAGATTTTTGAAAAATATCGATGTTAAAAAAAATTTCAACTGCAATAAAACGAATGAACTTATTATAAGGGACACAATCGCGTTCAGTACAAACATTCCAGTCGATGGTCTCGGTCTCAAGCCGTCTAACTCAAAAAAATTAAATTTTCTTTTTTTCTTACATAAATCAAAAGCTAATAAAATTCCCCAGTGGCGTAGCCAGGATCGTCTCAAGGGGGGGGGGGGGGTTCCAATTTTTACCCGGGGACAAACTTTCGATTTGCACCCCCCCCCCTCAAACTTTCGATTTGCACCACCCACCCTCAAACTTTTGATTTGCAACCCCCTCAAACTTTTGATTTGCAGCCCCCCCCCCCTCAAACTTTCGATTTGCACCCCTCTCAAACTTTCGATTTGCACCCCCCCTCATACTTTTTATATATCCCGAGGGGTCTATGGGGGGTTATGACCCCCCTAACCCCCCTGCCTACGCCACTGAAATTCCCCATAATGCCTGAAAATATTAGAGAAATCTGTAGAATGATTATCGAGATATAATCATTTGAACAAACCGCCTATTATTTCAAGCGCTAAACATCTCGGCGCAAAACGAATATCGCTATATTTGTCAGTACACGGGAACGCAGTAGCACGCCGCAATCACACAATTTTACAGCACAGCAGTCACAATACTACAACCTAATTCAAATTCAAATTAACTATCTTTCTGAAAAAAAAAGCAGCAACAATACTTATAGGTAAGGATATTTGATTAATTATGTTCAGATATTCTATTACACTATCATTAGAAAGAATAATAAACAAATAGTTTTTGTTTAATATAGTCTATTTCCGGATTTTCAATAACCAAACTGATGTTTACAATTGTTTAGGCTAACACAATACTTTGAAACTAGATCTTCATTCTAGAAACTTAATATAAATCAAAATAATATTATTCGAATTATATTTCCACAAGATTGTGCAATAAATTTAATTGTTTTTAATTCACTACTAGCTTTGTATTGAGGTTTTATCTAAGTGTTAAGAAATGTTTTTATGGTAGGTTACAAAATGTTTGGCGTACATGTTCAACGACATGGTTAGTTGTCTTTAGTAAAGGCTTTTATGATTTATTTTTCAACGGACAAGCCCGTCTAAACACACCAGATTCTCTCAACAGACCAGCCTATCTTTGACATACCAGCCTCTCTCAACAGACCACCCTCTCTAAACAGACCCGCCTCTCAACATATCAGCCTCTCTCAACAGATTAGCCTCTCTCAACATATCAGCCTCTCTCAACAGACCAGATTCTCTCAAAAGACCAGCCTCTCTCAACAGACCAGCCTCTCTCAACAGACCAGCCTCTCTCAACATACCAGATTCTCTAAAAAGACCAGCCTCTCTCAAAAGACCAGCCTCTCTTAACAGACCCGCCTCTCAACATATCAGCCTCTCTCAACAGATTAGCCTCTCTCAACATATCAGCCTCTCTCAACAGACCAGATTCTCTCAAAAGACCAGCCTCTCTCAACAGACCAGCCTCTCTCAACAGACCAGCCTCTCTCAACATACCAGATTCTCTAAAAAGACCAGCCTCTCTCAAAAGACCAGCCTCTCTTAACAGATCAGCCTCTCTCAACATACCAGCCTCTCTCACCACACCAGCCTTACCATATAACTTACAAGCCTCTCTCAACAGACCAGCCTCTCACGACATACCAGCCTCTCTCAACAGACCACCCTCTCTAAACAGACCCGCCTCTCAACATATCAGCCTCTCTCAACAGATTAGCCTCTCTCAACATATCAGCCTCTCTCAACAGACCAGATTCTCTCAAAAGACCAGCCTCTCTCAACAGACCAGCCTCTCTCAACAGACCAGCCTCTCTCAACATACCAGATTCTCTAAAAAGACCAGCCTCTCTCAAAAGACCAGCCTCTCTTAACAGATCAGCCTCTCTCAACATACCACCCTCTCTAAACAGACCCGCCTCTCAACATATCAGCCTCTCTCAACAGATTAGCCTCTCTCAACATATCAGCCTCTCTCAACAGACCAGATTCTCTCAAAAGACCAGCCTCTCTCAACAGACCAGCCTCTCTCAACAGACCAGCCTCTCTCAACATACCAGATTCTCTAAAAAGACCAGCCTCTCTCAAAAGACCAGCCTCTCTTAACAGATCAGCCTCTCTCAACATACCAGCCTCTCTCAACAGACCAGCCTCTCTCAACAGATCATGCTCGCAACATACCAGCCTCTCTCAACAGACCAGCCTCTCTCAACAAACCAGTCGTACCATACAAGACATCAGCATCTCTCAACAGACCAGCCTTTCACAACAGACCAGTCGTAACACACAAAAGACCAAACTCTCTTAAATGACCAATCTTACCATACAGTACACCAGAATATCTCAACAACTAGTCTAACCCTCTAAGACACCATTAAATCTCAACAGACCAGCCTCTCTCAACAGACCATTCTTACGATACAAGTGACCAGTCTCTCTTAGCAGAACAGTCGTAATATACAAAAGACCAATCTCTCTCAACTGACCAATCTTACCCTCCAAGATACCAGCCTCTCTCAACAGACCATCCTTACCATACAAGAGACCAGCCTCTCTCAAAAGATTAGTCTTATCCTACAATAGACAAGCCTCTCTCTACACACCAGTCCTATCATACAAGACACCAGCCTTTCTCAACAGACCAGTCGTAACAAACAATAGACCAGCCTCACATAACATACAACAGACACCAGCCTCTCTCAAAAAGACTAGTCTTACCATACAAGACACCAGCCTCTCTCAAAAAGACCAGTCTTACCATACAAGAGACCAACCACTCTCAAAAGACCAGTCAGACCTATCAAGAATTCAAAGCGACAAATATTCGTGCACTGCAGTACAACCATGATGCTACAATCCACTTCAAAGTGAATTAGCAGATAGCTGGCAATTGCTAAGCTAGGGTCGTAAGATTATGATCTCATCTGTAGCCCCTGACAAGTTGTACAAGAGCAGAAAAAAAAGATAAAAGCTGTCATATTTGAGCACCTAAAAGCAAATCATAAACACACCTTTTTATGATGATTTCCCTGATTTTAAAAATATGTTTCCATTTTAATGTTTCTTCATGTGACGTTCATTCAAAAAATAAATTTTAAAAATAAACACTTTCTTTTTTGTTACATTTTGTAAAATAAGCAAACATTAAGTCATTATTAATGTGATTAATGTGTTATGTCTCATTTGTAATATATCTGACAATAAGGTTTATATTTTTACTATTATCATTCTATAAACCCAGCACCCACCATATTTAATAAAATAAACTGTGAGAATAGAAAGATGTAATACATAAAGCATAACCTTCAACAGTTAACAAGTCTAGTGCTAAATACAGCCATAATGAATAAACAGTCGAAAGCGATAAAGCCATACTAAAACATCTCTACTAAAATTAAACTGACCCCATAATGTAGAATAAACTCAAATAATTAAAATATGAGCCCAAAACTATAATCTAAATATTATGAAGTGTTAATTATAACTTAAAAACATAAACATAACTAAATCACGTTCATTGGACAAAACGAACGAACGCGGCTGAGACCGAAATTCTCGGTTCAAAACAGCTCAGTCTGCGCGCGCACAGATAGACGGTTTGCAGCGAGAGTTTTAGACCGAGCGAAACCGACTATCTTTTAAACCCAGAGGCGTAGCGAGGGGGGGGGGGGGGGCGGGGGTGCGGACCGCACCGGGTGACACCATTTAGGGGGGTGACACCAAGGGAAAAAATAGTAAAATATGTAGAGAAAAATTTGAGGGGGGTGCAAATCGAAAGTTCGAGGGGTGGTGCAAATCGAAAGTTCGAGGGGTGGTGCAAATTGAACGTTCGAGGGGGGTGCAAATCGAAAGTTTGAGACGGGGGGTGTGCAACTCGAAAATTGAAAGTTTGTCCCCGGGAAGAGTCGCTACGCCTCTGGGGGGGGGGTGACACCATTAAGTGCCGCACTGGGTGACACCCGACCTCGCTACGCCACTGTTTAAAACTACTATAATTTTGTAAATATTAGCAAAACTCATTTTAAAACGCTACAGTATAGTCGGTGGAGAGTTTGTATTAGAGCGATCAATAATGAAATAATCAGTTTTTGTCTCTGTTGTAAAATTTACATTTTCGGAGTTAGAACGTTTGCGACCGAGACCATCGCAGTGTTGTCACTGTAAGTTTGTTCCAAGCTAGAGTTATCATTCTTTTACC